CTTCTATACAACGAAAGGAGACTGCGACCACACAAAAGGCCACACCATCTTGGTCTTGATATCTTCGATAATTGACTAGATTTACGAACTACATGTAATGCGAGTAAGGTCCCAAAAGCAGAAAGTTTATAAAATTCGATCGGAGAAAGCGGAATCTAAAAGCGGAAAAACGAGAGATAAGAACACAATACGCAATCAATATAGTCAGGGTAAAATATTACAACTACATTGGCCGATCGAAATTTGGACTTTAGAAGCGTTTCAAAAGCAATGCTCACTGAATTTCGGTGACTCTTGTTAATACCATCACTACTGTAGTGGTACTAACAACATGGGTGATTCACAAAATCTCAAAAAGGCGCGGGGTCCATCACTATAACAAAAGGTTTGGATCTGAAGCCCTGTAATAAAAGGAAGGAAACTACTCATTAAGGGTCGGCACAAAACCCTTTCATTTATTTGTTAAATACTCTGGCTTAACTGTTTAAGCTTTGGAATAACGTTCATTACTTTTTAAAACCAAGAGAAAATTGGTGGGCAATTTCAAGCTTTCCTAAAACTTAATTGGGCGATTTAATTGATGCTTAATCCAACATTCAAAAATTAGAAGGGCAGCATTCAAGCAGGATGGATAGAGGAATTAAAATAAAAATACTATTATGGCTATGATGATCTAAGCCTAAAATGAGTTTGACTATGAACATGCAAAAGAACTGACTCTTGACATTTTAGTCCAATCACGAGTGCTGTGATGGTACAAAAGGTAAGAATCAATAAATAAAAAGGAGGGGTGTACATGAGTGTGAGGATTCATTCGGAAACAGCCAAGATAAATTGAGGACAAAATCTAATGAAAAAAGGAAACCAGATAGATAGAGGGAATTTTAAGAGCCTCTGAGATTGGTACAGATAAGTTTCCAACAAAGATTGAGAGATGTATTCCCCCTATTACGTTAAGGTCATGAAGGACTGATATTTGAAGTTTCCATTATAATATGAGCCGGCCTTACGTCTTCATTGAATTTCGCATAGACTTGCTTCCCAAAAAGTATTCTTACTCGGGGTGTACTGAAGCTTCTCATCTAGGTCTCAGCAATACCCCCAGTTAGATTAATACCATAAGAGTGGAGCGTATAACCTCGAAACCTAACGCCTACTCATATGATTGTGGCGAAATTCAATTACCAGTCATTCATTGACTTAAACGAAGTATGGTTATATATATTAATATATATGACTTGTGATGCATTAGTCTCTTGTGTGCCAATACAAAAAATGTTGAGGTACAGCTTGCTTTGATTAGGTTAAATGTTGAAACACAACGTTTGTGGGTTGGCACACAAGATACTAGGGCATGGCGAGTCATAGACTTGGTATTAGGGATAGAAACAGGATAGACGCGGCGGCGATTGGAGCTAGTGGGCTGACAGTAGGTTTTATAAGAGACCTGGTCCATGTGGCAAGGGCCTGACCATGAGACTTACTCAGAGGCCTTAGCCTCGAATTAGTCACCCAGACGCAGGGGAGGGCGAATAAGGTCTCGAGTAGCACAAATGGGGTGGCAGGGGTCGAGTGAAATACGTGAACCAGGGAGAGAGCAGACGGATCTTACAGGGCGAGAGAGACTGTGATAAGACCTAGGAAAGGAGGAAAGTGTAACAATATGGCAGACTCTGATCGACATTCCCAGTGAGGGTGAAGAGAGTGAGAACGCCAGCGTGGAGTGTGAAGGGTTTTCATTAATGTCGCTCAAAGGAGTACACCATACGACATCGAAATAAGCACGGTAAACATGGTAAAAATTAAGGCGTGATAGGAGGATAAGGGAAATGTGAAAAGCCCAAAGCAAAAGGGGATACTACAACTGTTTAGCACACGTTTGATCAAAGAATCGGCTTCACTTGTCTCTTCGACGAGTTGTTGTGTGGTGCTAAGAATAGCTAGAGACTCGTTGACGATGCCGGCGAAACGTCTGGGAATGTATCACGTCCACGGTCCTACTCTGGACAGGATCATGCATACAATGGACTCTGGACTAGGTGCGTTCCTCTGCGTCTTCCTACCAATATGACCAAGTTGCGAAAACAAGGCCAAACAACCTCTATACAACATATAGTAACACAGAATATTCATTCTACTTCAAAAGTTTATGGGTTATCTAGGCTCCTAAAAGAAGCGCCGGACACTACTAAGCCCGAGTTTTATCAACGTTTTAAGCCACATCTGCAAAAAGAAACATTTGACATGAAAAGTTAAAGACTATGGGAATAAATTTCACAATAAGAATCTTATTCAAGAACATAATTAGCCAGATCAACAACTGCAATAAATGACACAAGCTGCCAAAAATTTAATTAGCCTCTTTGTTCGGAGGAAAAATGCAAACCAGCTAATCTAAGGCAAAAAAATAATAACACAAAGATATAATGATGTCGAAGAGTATTCCATAAATTGTCTCTAGATACTTAAAACGAGTAAAGAGAATAAAATGAAATCAGAAGACTAATCAACGGAAATAAAAAACTATG